AATGAGTCAGCCACAGAAGCACAGGTGAAGGCAATTCACCTGTGCTGCCGGAAGGGGTGGAGCCTGGCTCCACCTCTCCTGGATCCCATTTAAGAGCTGGCTACCAGTGGGGAAGGATCACTTCTGGAGATCCACTCCACTGGATTTTACCATGCGAGCCCAGGATATGGGTGAGTGTCCTTTTCTGCTCTAGTATAATAACTACATAAGCCAAGCTCTCAGATATACTATATCATCTGTATATTCATTGACTGTACAGTCTCCTGGAAAATACGATAATGGTAGGAAAGAAGTCAGATTCAGTGAGACTGACTAGAAATTATTTTTGTAAAGAAATATCAACTATTTTGGAGAGTGATTGTGTTTAAAATACGTAAAATGATGGATATTTCTTCATGATCCTTTATAAAGGCACATCTTTGCATTGGTTCATTTTCCTGTGAGGATTCTACATACTGTTAGCACAAGAAAACAGATAGTTGTACTTAATATTTTCTTTTGGAATACAGAATGAACTGCTCCACATTTCAGTCTAATTAGTATTTATATAACTATGCTTTTTGCCATCTGAAATTAATCACTATGAATGGCATAATATACAAGTGTACACTGAAAAAAAGCAATGACAAATACTTTGAATAGCATTTAATATTTCTCCTCTGATAATAAGGGTGTCTTATAGTTCATCAGTAACCTGATTTTGGATATCTAGGATGTTAAATTAAACAGTATTCTCAACAAAAATGAGTAAATCATAGGAAATATTTCTTTTGTAACTGAGTGGGGTAAAGATTCATAGCATGTAGGGTATCAAATGTGAGTTTGCCTGCTATTAAAACTAATAGGTGAGATCAAAATTTTCATATGAAAATAAGATTTACTACAAAAGAACAGAACAGAAGATCATTTTAGCTGGTAAACTCCCTTGAGAGGTTGATGTTAATATGCTAGATGGAAGTGAACTGTTGGGTAATACAACAACCTATTGTGAGATGACAGACTGTAGTAAAGGGAATTTCCTTCGTGACCTCTACAGCCAATTAGTTTCCTCCCTCCAGCCTGGAGTTCAATAATCTGTGTCATTATATTTCCTTGCATAGCCAGAATGCTAATGTTATTAATATTAAATTCAATCACTGTGTTAAGTTGAAGAACTGCTTCCAACATGTCATGATGTGTTCAGTTCCGGAGATTACTCTGTCAAATTCTATTGATGAGTGAATGGATAACAGCTTCTGCCAACACATGTTGAAGAACATCAAAATAATTTCACAAGAAATTGAAAAATATGCAGTGATTAAAGGGATTAGATGAAATTAATGTTTGATAAGAAGAGCAGTTACCTGCACAATTGCTGGTGGAGAATTATGTGCAGATTTCAGTGAGGTTCTCACTGAAGAAATTTTACAAAGTGATGAAGAAACCCATTTCCTTCATGGTGGAGTGGTAGTATAATGTAATTCTCAATGTCAGTCCTCCCCTCACAAACTGAAAAAATGTGTTCTTGCACTGAAGAGTAAAGAAATTGTTCTGGATGTGCTTTAGTACAGCAACAAATGCTTTGACTGGTATATGAAGTAGCAACCACTATCACAGCACTGTGATAGTAAAATTTGGAAACAGGCGGGTTTTATTTTTTTTTCTCCAGTTTAAGACTTAAGTTTTCTGACATTACTTGCAACGTTTTGTGGATCTAGGCAAGATACAGGCAAATTTGCCTTCCTTAATATTCTGCTCCCAACAACCAACAGGATACTGGAAGTGGTCTCTGAAACAGTCTCGGTGTTTTTCTGCTGTACTATACCACATGTGCAATCAGTTAAGGCTTTTTCTCACAATATCCTTTCCATCCTTCCACAGCCTGGCACAATTCTCTTGCAGTCTTCTGAGTAGTTACTGTGTTTTAGCACTTACTCCAACAGAGACTTTTTTCAAATCTAATTTCCATTTTTATTGTTTTAATGTTTATTTTTTAAATACATTGCATGACACCTTGTACTTAGTGATATGAAAGTGCACTAACAAGATGAACCTCTCCTGTGGATAGCAATCCATCCTCTTGCAGTTTTTGACAGAATGCCTTCCTAAAAATACTGTGGAACTTCATCTTAACCATCTATCTATATATATGGAAGAAGAATGTTGTTTCTATCTGCTTTATTATACTTCTAGATGTTGTGTCAACCTGTCAAGTATTGACTATAATTTCTATAAGCCACATTTAACTACTTCCAGGAAGTCAACAGGGTCAAACTGACAGTGTAAGGTGGTATGAACGGACTGTACTGCATTAACTCCCTTGCTTTTCCTACTGTCAGGCCCTAAAAGAATTTTATGCAAATCTTAGGAAAAAAAGTCTCATCTTCCCAGTGTGACTGCTTTGATAGCAGACCTTTTATGTGTGAAGGAAACCACACTTGGCTTTCAGTAATGAGAGTATGACCTAGTGGCTAGATCTTATTAAACACACAGAGAAGGAGATGTGATGGGAGCTAGCACCTTTCCTCCATAAATATTTTCCTGAACACTTTCTATGTATATCCCTGTGAGAAGGGATTTAAAATTTAGTTCAGAAGGTAATGTTAATAGCAAAAAAAACCTCGACAACTTCATCTTAGAGAAAAATCCAGTGGATGTCACTGGCTACAACTATCTGATGTTTTGTGTTTCCTAGAACAGAAGTAAAGCCAGGTCAAATGGGAACAACTGGATATGAAGATACAAATGTAAATATGACAGAAAGATATTACCATAAGAAAAGCAAAGCAGAGAGGTAAAGAAGAGCATTTCATACCCAAAAATTATGCTTAAGCAACAGCTGCATAAATACTTTGCAGTATTTAAGTACCTCCAAGTTACGTACTGATCCAACAAGTTCATTCTTTGTTATTGTGCTTTGATCATTTTGTGAAGCTTAAGTTACATGAAGGTTTCCTTGCAAAGTAACTGGAGATTTGAAACCATAGAGCAACTTGCACGTGCCCTAAGAGACTGACATCAAAGATGCGTGTCTGTACTTATAAGCTACACTTGCTTAGAAAGTTAACCTAAAATTATCAATAACATAGATGTCTTACAAGATAAAGTATTTTTTAAGAAGTTTGTTTGGTTCTGCTTTATTTCTTTTAATTGTTGTTCCTTTCATGCACTGAGATCTTGTTACATCATCATCATGAAAACTTTAAATAAATAAAAAATCCTCACATCTTCTTCTTAACTATCATAAACGGAGTCCCTGACATTGTGCTGTTAGAGGAGAGTAGATGGAATATGTGACCTTTACAGCATCAGTCATTTTTTAACTTAATTAGAAAAATCTCAGAATAGCTCCAGAGGAAAACTCTTTCACCACATTTTATGACTAGACTTTTAGTATTAAGTCTAGGATATTGAGGGATTTGAAGAAAGAGGTCACAAGTGAAGGAGAATGTACAGATATATAGAATCGTAGGCAGCAGAGACATATTATACACTCACATTAATCTTTTCAGGTGATGTGAAGTTATATGAAAATGGTTTTGTAATCATAGTACTGTAGTTCAATAATCAGTAAACATTCTGGGAAATGTTCCTTGTAATGCTGAAGAGCTGAATGTACCTCTAGAAAAAAAACCTTCAAAACAGCTATAAAAGGCAATGCAAACAAACAAAGTCAGTGAAGTACCAAAGGTACAGAACTGGAAATGTAAAGACAATACTGTTCCCAGTAAGATAAAAGATAACGTTCCCATTGACTTTTTGATTACACTGGACTTGTACAGACAAAAATCTCTCAGTTATAACAGAGGGCCAGTTACTACCTCCAGCCAGGGAATGGGCATAATGTTTCTTACTCAGAGTGAGACTAACATAAAATATAGTGAATGTTAGTTCAAAGTCATACTGTTGCAACTATGGAATGAAGAAACAGGAAGAATCAAGTGTGGAATACCTAACTTATCTCTCTGACAAATCTATGCTCTCCTTTATAGGTATTATTCTAAAACATCTCATTTAATCTTAATTGTTAAATTGCTTTGCTGAATATTTCTACTTAATTAAAAGTAAAAAATATATCTCTATGTTCTCATCAATGGCAACAGGGCTACCAAGGTTGCCTTCAGCTGTGAACATTTTTTTTTAAGAGGAAAAAGATTTTCTAAAGTATAATAGCTTTATGATTTAGCTTGAGATCAGAGTTCAAAACTCTGTAAACTCTGATAGTACCAAATAGTATTGAAATGAGAAGAAAGGAAATGGGTCATAGTTAACTTCTCTGGTAGTTCTGCTTAATTTGACTCCACTGTAAATACTCAATGGGCCCAAGTAATCATTTGGAACTGGACTTTGGTGTATGCAAGAGCTTACAAATTTGTGAGAAAGCTGCATTAATCTACTGCTCTTAATCAGAATAACAAAGGTTCCAGTCAACTGCTCCATAGCACATGAGGAGTCATTGGAATTACTTGCTGTACGTTATCCACATTGCTGTTATTCTCCTCTTCCCACCCCCAAGACACACACAGGAAACAGCTCATTGATAAGCACATTGTTTAGCAGCTTCGGGTGCCACACCTATATAAACTCGTGCCCATGCCTGTTGCATTGCCTACTACGCTACTAACCCTAACCAGGTCAGGACCGAATAACTGCATGTGTACACCAATATGATGAACAGCAAAATGAAGTTTATTGCACATGAACTCTAGCTTATAAACACTAAGTGCATCGTCTACACCCCTAAAGTATGTGCTACACATCAATCTAACAGCCTGGGAGGTCCTGCTGCGTCACACACTGAGGGGTGTCACGCAGTCACCTGCTACAATTCCCCCGCTCCAAACTCAATAAAACATACCCATTACAAGGAAATCTGCCAAATAATCCTACCCTAACCAATTAATAACCTGTTAACTAAATGATCTCAATGTCCTAAATGTGAGATCTACATAAAGTGACATATTGCATTCCTAGATGATGCTGATTCATTCGTCGCCTGTACGCGCCTGTACGCGGCTTTTCCGGTATTGATATTAGATCTAATACAACTATAACTGAACTACAACTAAATGCAGTATAGAGTTAAACATCCCCGTTTCTTTGGTGTACCATCCAAGAAGCACTTCCTGCCAGTTGTGTTCTCCATCCTTCTTTACTCTCTCTCTCTCGGACATGATGCATCTCACTTTTGTCATGGTCAACCGTGATGAAGGTTTTCTGTCCACTGCCTCTGATGCATTTTAGCAGTTGGTGCAAGTTATCTCATGTTACAACAGCTTCCTTACGAAAGCAATATTCACTCCAATTGCAGCTGGTGATAGGTCTTTAATCAGCATATAATTAGCCTGGAATAACTGATGTGATGTCACCAACAGTGAAGAATGAAAGCCACATCCTACAATACTGGTAAAGTTGTAGACAGAGAGATTAGACATTAGAGTGATTGCTGATAGCTCTACTGGCACGATCTAAGAATACGAAATTACAAAGGATCCTTATACAAACAAATCCTTTCCCAATATATACCAACATTGTCTTAGGAACCTCACTGGAGTGTACCTGAAAATGACAAACATTTGTTCAATATCAAGGCAGATGTCTCGAGCTTTCAGAGTATTGCTCTCACAAACAAATCATTGTTGCTTGTTCTCCAGGCCTCCATCTGGCCACCTGCCCTTAAGGGAACCCATTCTGATGCCCCCAATGTATACTGCAGTGGATTAAGTACAATGCAGATGCGTATAGGCATATAGGCCTATTCTGGACCTCCGTTATCATTCCCTACTATCAGGAAGGTCTACAGTACTCTTCCTTTCTCTATCAGGCCAGATCTAAACTTCCTACAATCTGTTAGTGCATCCCTCTTCACTCCTAAATGCAAATTCACCTCTCTCCTTCTTTCGCTACCCTTTTCAGTCGCAACAGGAAGCTGCGGGCGCCGCATCCCTCCCCCTCTGCCCTTTGATCTCCCTTTGATCAAGCACTGACTGTTGTAGAGGCTTCTAATTGGTTGCATGCGCAGTCAATCCTTTAAAAGGATATGTAGGTCAAGTCAATGGGTCCTGATATGGTGGTAGGGAGTGGGTCCAGAAACCATCATCATTTTGTCTTTCTCCGTTGGGTGCAACCTGAGCAGACAGTGCCGGCCAGATGCCACCTTCTCTTTCAGGCACAATCAGGGTGGATGGTGCTGGCTGGACTCTATCACCTGAGCATCTGTAAGTTGCATCGCTTCCCTTTCCTTTCTTTTTTACCACCTCCCTAACTTTTGACCAATCTGTACCCAAGCCTTTCCCACAGTCCCCACCCCCTGGGTATTACCACACTTGTTTTCCATCTCTATAGAGGAGGCTAGCATCCCACTCCTTCTTCCCCAGCTCACTTCTCCCCCTGCCCCCACAGGTGGTGGTAGATTACACAGAGAAAGATACAGCAGTTGCCATGGATATGGTGGGGGGGACCATATCCCCGTATCCGTATTTCAATGACCTTGGATTCCTGCACTCGGGCAGTTTTGCAAGATAAGAGCGCATACAGTTGAGCGCTACCTTCTCCTTGTTTGTCTGAAGCTGGAACTGAGGGGGGAGCTGAAGATGCAGATGAGGTGTTAGGCGCCATAGTTGAGGGCATATTTGTGGTGCTCTCTTCCTCAGGGGACCTGCAAGAAAATACGCTTCCCATGCCATTTCTCCCAGTGTTAGTAGATTCCAACCCCATCATAATACACAGCACCTCAGGAATTTTGCCCTCCTCCCTGGCCGCTCTGAGAGCTCCGAGGATCAGCTCCCAAACTTTAAGCTCTGCAGCTTTTTGCTCCTCCATCACATGCTGCGCAAGCATGGATGTAAACAAATCCCATCTAGTGGGGTCTAGAATGTCCTGAGGCAAGATTCCACTCCTTTTCCAGGTGAGTAAGTACAGCTGCAGTGTCCTTCTCAGAAGGAGCATTCTAGCCCAAATAGTCCTTACAGAATTGAAGGATTACCTTGATAACTTGCTCCATCACCAGCACAGCGCTGATGTCCTGATCCGCGAGCAACCTGCTGCCACATCACAGGCTATCAACACTCCCAGCTACAGGGGTTGTGCGAAGACTCAATTTCTACCTACCTACCTGAATATATCAGTGGTCCACAGTATAGGCATATGTATCTACCACAACTATTTACTGCCTTTTCACTGCTGTTGAAATAAATCAAAATAAATCAATTTAGCAAATGGAATCCCTCCCACCTCTCAGTACTATCCACAAATTAAGAGGACACGAAGTATCAGGTGAGGCAAATTTTAGATTCTGAATGATTTCAGGGGCAGTTTCACTGTAATTCACTGTCAGCGGTATAGAGCTGAATACTGCTGGGACCAGCAGACAGTATGCATGCTTCAACCAAGTTCAACCATCCTACCTGAAGAATGCATATTCTAGAATGAACACCTCAATCTAATTTTGCCTTCAGTTTTGTCTCAGATAAAATTAGCTATTCCAATCAAAAGAGAGTTCAGTCTTGAGCTCAATGAGTAAAGTGGACAACTGGTGAACCAGAACAAACCAGAACATAAGAATCTTGGCAAAATAAATGCTCAGTATTGTACTATAGAAAGAGACAACCGTTTTGATGAGCTTCATTTTTTCCTTAGAGAATTCACTGCTTCAAATACACCCTAGGTCAGTGAAAAAAAAAAAAAAAAAAAAAAAAAAAAAGCATAGCACAACTTCTAGCTTTCCATTTACAGACATATCACTGTCTTATTATTACTAACAGTCAGCAAAGGATTAAGTCATAATTCTGCAGATGAAGAAGGATTCATTGCAGCGTTTGCAAAAGCTGTGAAGGCATCCTAAGCATGACAGTTTAGAGAGTTCACATCCTCTGAGACCATAGCCTCAGGGAACATTGCTCTTTTCCTTTGACATTCAGTAAATATTCACAGGAGCCTGGACAAGGGGTGAAAACACATTCTATTTGCACTCGAGAAAAAAAGTCATAAAAAAAAAAAAATCATAAATAGAATCGTTGACAACTCTTTACTGAAAATTCTCTACCTAAATATCATATTTGCATCTATTATCACTGCTTATTTTACTATGCAGCATATTTCCCATAGTTGGATTTAACGGTAAGGTTAATAATTCAATGGATATTTTCTTTCAGGTATTACTACCTACTTTGAACACATTAACATTCTGCAGGAACCAAACTGTTAAAAGTAAATAAATATACACATATAGGAAAATTCACTGTTGCTCAGAAAGTTACCATTAAGTTCAATGTTAAGCAAATTCTCCAGCCATGACTTGGACTGCTGATTTGAATATTTATTCATTTTCTATAGTGTTGTAGCCTGATGTACTTGCCTCCCTGCTCTAATGCCACAAAGTAAGTGAAATGAAGTTATACATATTTAATAAAACCAGAAATGCAGTCTTGTCCTACTTCATGCATCTCTCCCACCCCAGTAAGGACAACAGGAGAGTCACTATGGACTTTAAGTTGGAAAAACTTGAAAAAAAGTGATAATAAGTATTAATATCACAAACCTCCTACGTAAGTTTACTTAGCTTGAGCTAAATCAAACAGGAACATAACAGAATTTCTTAGCTTACAGTGTCAAGAGCATGATATTAGTGTATTTTGCTAAGAAAATATAACAAGAAACTCTCTTGAAAGAAAGTAATCTTTGTTCTTTTTCTCCCTGTCCTAGCTATGACTTTCTGGACTCTTGCTATGTTGGATCTAGGTCTGATCTAGAACTTTTGTTTGTTTTCCAATACATTAACTGGCTGACCCTCATCAGTCACAATATGCATAAGCAATATGTGCATTCATAGGTCAGATGAATAGCTATGTTCTCTTAACATATCTTTCATTTTAAACAAATGCTTGTGAAGAAAGTACAATTACATAAGATATATAGATGTTAAGGAAGGAGATTTGAGTTGACCTGTCAGCTTTATTCGCAAATACTTTATGAATACCTACCACACCTTCAACCTACAAGCAATTCAAAGGATGCTGATTCACATGCATGAGACATTTTAACCAGCAAGATGAGAAACCAGGGAGAAATACATGTCAAGATGGGTGCTCTTGTTAATGCTACAGAGAATGAGAAAGGCAAATTGCATTTTTCTGGAGAATAATTCTTAGGGCTAGAGTAAATTGGCAGCTGTGGACTCTTCAGCCCTGAGTAGCCCATACATCAGACCTAAATGTTCTAAGAAATCAGAGATCTAGTTGTTAGAGATTATGTAAAAAAAACAGTAGATGAGAGAAAAATATTGTTATACTTACTTGAGTTAGCCATTTACAATTTGATGCATTGGTGAGACCCCTCTTGCTCCTCTTCTCCTGTTGTCTTGGTCTTCAGATCATGGATACAGCACCATCTCAAAGCATGATCTGAAGGAAAAGCACCAAGGTTTTCAAAAATAAATCTTTTATGAGGAAATGTGCACACATTTTAACATTAGTTATGGTAATAGCATATATGTTCTCAGGTAATAGTAAGACCCTCCAAAAATACATACTGTCCACTACTTTATTTGCAGTTTAAATTATGATAAATTGTAGAGATCTATGCAAGTAGCATTAAGTGATCAAAACAAATATACTACAGATATGGTTAAGCTCTTTATAGAGGTCTGAAAATTATTTTGTAATGAATCTTTTGCATCTGTAGTTTAATAGGCTTAAATGAATTGTAGTCATTCTAGATCTATTCAACAGATTTTAATGAATTAATAGTCTAGAACATGTAATATCAAGGATTAGACTATGGAGAAAAAACACCCAGAAAAACCTATACAGGAGCATATGTAAGTCACATCACAATTTTCAGAAAATTCATCTAGTTTTTTTGCAAAGTGTTACTAACGAACTTATTGTGTACAGCATGCTATACCTAGGTTCTACATCAATCATTTCAGCAACCTAAAAAGAAGAATCGTTGTGCTATAAAACTAAAGTTCTAGCATAAGGTGCCTATTTCAATAAAGAACTGGGAGAGAAAATTGAACAAAAAAATGTTACCAGTTTGAATTCAGCATCTTCTTCATGCCACAATGGATATGCTCAGGTCTCAGGCTGGAAAAAGTGGTACTGACTGGTGCAATAGTATAATCTGAATTCAGATTTAAGAGTACTCCAACTGAAATGCTAGAAGAAAAAGAAGAGACCCAACACTTTTGGGGAGCAGGTATAGACAGAGGTCTAGTGCTTTAATATCCTCACTGCTACAATAGAGCAACTACTTCAGCTACTTTCTGGCCTGTGTTTTCCAAATGGCAGCTTTCAGCATTGAGATCCTGCAATTTCTTAAACAAAGAAAAGAATTTTCCCTTTGTATATCAGTAAGGACCACGATCAAGAAAACTATTAAGCTTCTGCTTATTAAATACAGAGTTAAAAAGACATCTTGCAATACAGGCTTTCCAGATCTTTAGTCATTCTCATCTCTTCTTTCCTTATCTAGATCCCATGTATTAACATTCTTCTGCTTTGACATCATCACTGTGCTCAGCATTTGCTTCAGTGCCAATTTCTGTCTTCCATCTCTTCAGATTTCCATGTTTATTGATCTCACTATTACATTATTCCTTTGTGATGATCACTGCACTTAGAACTATAGTCATACTTCTGATGAAATCAATTGCCCTAGAATGACAAAAACAGTAATGTAGGTTTTTTTTTTTAAAAAAAAAAAAAATATATAGCTATCTTCAATAGAGGTTCAAATAAAGTAATATTGAAGACTATTCCTTAATTATTTTTTAAAGGGAGCAGATGATTTGTCTGCCTCTTAAAATTTATTAAGGGTAGCTATGACTACTTTTTCTGAATTATGAAAAAGTCAACTAAAACTAAGCTGGATTTTATCATCATGATCACTGTTAAACTCAGAACCTACCTTTTTTAAAATAAATATGCACATAAGGAGAGAACAGTGTTGCCTTAGTTATGTATGCAAAGCAGTCCAGAGTTCATGTACAACTTCTGTGAAGGAAACAATGTTATTATGAGACCTGTCTTAAGAAGCATGCTTATACAGATAAAGAGATGTCAGATGAGTATATCTGCCAAAAGCAGTATTATAATTAAATGAAGTTTTTGACTGTTTGAGCTAAGTTTTTCATAATAGAACACACAATGTTAGACAAAAAAAGCCTGGAACAAATGAAGAGGGGAAGGAGAAGAATCTTCAGGAATAGAAGAGAAGCAGGAACCAGGACTATATTCTTATGTGGAATTAGGTGAAGGCAGTGTAGTATGTACTGTCTTCTGGGTCTTTGTCTTTTTACTCATTCTGAGTGAAGACATCCAGAGCTCAGGCTCAGCAACTTTGAAATAAGACTTGTTTCCCCTCAGTGTAGTCAACTTTGTCTGGAACTGATGTCAATCAGTAGACTTAATATTTCAGTCTTAAGATTTCATTATTAGCTTTAATACTTTAAACATGCAAGTGATATTCAATAAAACAGGATAAAACCAGTGATGTGTCAGAACAAAGTCATTCATATCTCTTGTAGGTATCAGCACTCAGTTTCTTCTCACTGTTTTGTTTTAGTACCACAAAATTTCACATTCTCCTGACAAAGTGCAATCACTACATTTAACAGTGAGTTCTCATTTTAATTATCCTGTAGAATCAGAATTACTATTAAAAAAAAAACATGCAATTCAAAAGAGTTTATCTGATATGTTCATGAACATATTGTAATTTTAACAACAAAAATAAACATAAAGAAACAAAGTAATTATTAAACATTGAAGGTGTGCTTACTGCTGTTCTGAATTCCTTTGTGCATATTTAAATCTTCCATAACCTTAGAAAGTGATTTACTAGTGTAATTTACTCTTTGGAGACGGACCACCTTCACAAGCTTAAAATTCAGTCAAGGTCAGAGTGGTATTTTGTTTCAGTTTACATTTTCAGCCTATATAAACCAACTACCAATTTCCCAGAAGAGAAGTAAGGGCCCCTTAGTTTCTAGGGCTTCATCGGTCTCAGTTATAAAGACAGGTACTCAGCTCAGCGTAAAAACTCCGTTGCTTGGAGGACCTACAGAAAAAGAAAAGATCTTTAAGGCCACAGGGAATGTTCAGGTGCCTCCAAAACGCACACATCTCACCAAAAGAATACCAGGCAACAGAAAGAGGGTTTTTAGGATCATGGCTTCTCAATTAGAAAACTGAAGTCTGTTTTATTTTCCTGCTAGGCATCTGAATGCATTCTGGATCCTTTTCCACTTGTCTACTTTGCTTAGCAGCACCCTAATCGCTATGAGACTTATATCAATATGACATATTCCACCATTTTACATCAGTCTTTTACTTAGCACAGCTGGAAAAAGTCAGTCCAGGTTGTCAGAATTAGACTGTTGCAGCATTCAGGTGTATCTCCACGTGATTAACAGATAAGACAAACAATACACTATGAAGAATATGCTTCTTGAGTTTAACCCCCTCCCCAATGTCTAAGAAGCAGGTAATATATTTGGATGTACAAGATGTTTACATTTGTATTCTTGTTTTTTTTTGACATACGATATTCCTAGAGTAAGGTTTGACTGCAAACACTATCCTGTATTTGTCCCTATTATCTGACATTAAAAATTCAGGACTGTGTAATCTGTTTTATGTCATGCAGTAGGAAATTTGGAATTGTATTTATTCAGTAGCTGTGAAAGAATAAGCTGTTTATTAATCTTGTCTCCTAAAATTCTAGAAATTTCAGTTCTATGTCACTTCCTGCATAACTCAGTTCTGCAAGAACTTTTTGCACTTCTGCTTTTTAAAAGCAAGTACTCACTGGGCATAAACAAATATGCTCAATCAAGTATTAGACCACTTCTTTAAAAAAAAAAAAAATTCATTGATCCAGCAATGTATAAGGACATCCATTGCCAGTGAAGTATTAGAAAGAGCTTTAGGGCAACAGTTACTGCATGTAATACAAGCTCTGCCATACAAATTCTGCTATTCTGTGAAGTGCTCTCATCAGTTTCAAGTTTCACAAAGTTACAGTATGCTCCACCTCTCCCTCATCTCCTAAGATGCAGCAGCATACTATTTTATGATGGGTTACAAGCATTTAAAAGCTACTGTTTACATTAGCATTCTTTAAGCCATTTTGTAATGCTATAAAGTGATAGAATGCATAGCAATACTAGCAGAGTAGCACAATCCTAGGTTGCAGCAAATGAGAACAAGCCCAGATGAAGCAGCTGTAGGTACAAAAACAGAGGAAGAAATACTTACCTTTGGAAGGCCTCAGATATGCAGACATCTCCAGAGAGATATCCTCTGCCTCCACTGCCAACCCTTAAATAAGGTCTGGGAAGGGGTGGATCCTGGCTCCATCTCTTCTGGTCACACAGGTGCATTGCATCACATGAAATCACCTGGGTTGGCCCTGCCTTCCCACCAGGAGTTCAATCACTGGTTCAGGCCATGACTTAGCATGTCTGTTTCACATTTCTTTGGTCCTCCTGGCAGGCATCCTTCTAAAAAGCACTCATCAGCAATTATTGTATAAATCTGGAAAGCAGAAAGGTGTAATTAGCTGGGTGGAACATAAGCAATCACAGGAACAAAGATAATCAAAGCAAATACTTTGATCTACTGTATCTTCAGTTATTGGTCTTATAAACTACTACGGAGAAAAGAATGTGATAGTGAACAGTGTTGATTTTTTAGTTCTGAACTATAGAAAGAAAAGAACTAAATGTAAAGAAAAAAATGGATACCTTTTTTATTAGTGAGATTAAATTTAAAACTTTGTAATGGTTTGAATTCATCATGTTGTTTCATGAGAAAGCTTTCATTTTAAGGGTACATAACTATACACCTACATATGCCTTATCTCTTACAGTTCTTTTAGCAGACATCAAAATAATAGTTATATTTGGTTAGCTGCCAGAGGCGTACTAATAATGTAGTACTTCTCTTCCCTACTATACAGTTAATCAATAGTAGATCTATGTTTGCTGCTGAAACAAAGAACTTTAATATTACAAAGAGTTAGAGAAAAAAAAAAATTAAAAATCCCCCCTTTTTTTTTTTTTTTTTTTGGTCAAAGACATACTAGGAATGAAATAAAAGCACTTTAACTAGTGCTATCCTCCCAATGCAAATGTCAACATTTTCTCACATGAATCATAATGTACAGAGATGTGTTTAATGACCCAAAGTTCCTCTGAGATATGAATATCAAGATAGGTTGTATTTGGCCTTTAGGAAAGCCAACCAACAGAAAATGATGAAACCTTTTTGATTACTGTACGGCTGCTGATGGATGATCTTAATATCTTCTGTTGCTAGGTATGTTTCATGCATCACCAGTAGAGAGTTTTATTTTCATAGCAAGAATATCTAAAACCAGAGCTAGCTCCTGAAAACAGATAATTTGTGCAAGTTAATAATAATCATCATCATCATCTTCTGATTTTTTTTTTCCCCCCACTAAGGAGGGGAGACTACTAACAAAGTGGATGAAAAGTATAATTCAGATGCAAATGAAGCTAACATTTTTTAATCTGGTTTGGGTCAACTGATTGGTGTTCATATTTGTTTCTTTTCCATTTTTCTTATGGTTCTTTTAAGGTGTTGGATAAGATGGTAAGTAATAGAATATATGTATTCAGTTTTGTTTTGTTTTCAGTAAGCAACTAGCAAGGATGAGTTGTTTTGACAAACTGTAAATAATGCTTTAGGCTCTGTTATAAAAACAGTAGATCAAGTTCACAGACAAGACAAACATTTAACTCCCTTTGATTTCAGTAAGTTGCATTTAGTTTCATGATCTGAGATAGTGTATTTTTCGGGGGGGGGGGAGGGTTGAGGGGTGCAGGGGAAGGAGGGCTTCATTGTATTTATCATGACTACTCCAAACTCTTTAAAGATCAGGACAAATGCACAAAAATAACAATGAAAAATGAAAACAAAATTTTAAAAGATTTGATTAGTCTTAAGAAGCACTCTTGTTTTGAGTCAATTCTTGTTTTAGATAAGCCTCTTTACTCATCCCTGTGGCACAGTAAAGCATTAAGCTACATTTAAATGTAAATAACTTCTGAGGTGGATTCAATTTACTTCAGTAAACAACAAGCACATGATGCATAATAAATGCAACAATACACCAAGCACCAAATTCAGAATTCTTAGCCTCCTAATTACATACAGTTCTTACATGTGATAGTTTCCTTTTTTGATGTTTTTGTATCCAAGTATGTTCACAATCTATTTTTAATAAAAAAAAGAGATTACTTCTGAACTTCAAATGTAAGAAGGAAATAAGGTAATATAAACACAATCTATAGGTAGTAAGAGGCAAGAATATCTGCACAAATTATTCAGAAATACAGATACATTCCAGAAGCATGGGAAGGGCTTTGGATTTATCTTTGCTGATCTAAGTTCATCAATAGAATACATTATGCCATATTTGTCTTTCTGAAACTTCTGACTGGCATATAAGTGAATCATTTTCAAATTTAGGCCTCTCTGATAAGACTCCTGACTTCATATTGAAAATACAATTATAGTTTACTTTGTTTACTTCTGAAAAGGAGAAATGTATTAGTCATTCACTGCCTGGAACAGATGGTGACTCACACTCACCAAGCGTGGGAGACAGAGTTGCTACTGTGGGTCTCAGATTTTGGGCATATGAATTGATAACATCTTGACTTATGAATATTTTTTTAGTCCATTGGAGTGAAATGCAGAAAAGATAAAAGGAAATTTACAGCATTATGAAATGAAATTGCCATTCTTGATCTACTTGAATGGCTTGCTTACTGTTGAACAAGGAGAAACATACCGTAAACAGAATTGTTTCCTGCTGGTTGACAAATTTCTGAAAATCTAAGGAATCTATGACTTAAGCAATTTTGCCTCCAATATCTTTCTCTATTGCTGGATAAAAATGACATGATGTAAAATTTCTTAAAATAATTAATAGCAACCTGATAGTGCTATCCATCCTGCCAGCACAGTAGGGTAGCCCATAGCATTGGCACACTAGCTTAGGATCTGTGAAACCAGAAGAGGCCAAATCCTTCTTCACCACAACCTCCCCTCAGGAAGTTGTAGAGTGCAATGAGGTCTCCCCTGAGCCTCCTCTTCTCCAGTCTGAACAATCCCAGCTCCCTCGGCTGCTCCTCATAAGACTTGTGCTTCAGACCCCTCACCAGTTTTGTTGCCCTTCTCTGAACACGCTCCAGGACCTCAGCACCTTTCCTGTAGTGAGGAGCCCAAAACTGAACACAGTACTCAAGGTGCGGCCTCACCAGTGCTGAATAGAGGGGGATGAACACCTCCCTGCTCCTGCTGGCCACACTGTTTCTAATGCAGGCCAGGATGCTGTTGGCCCTCTTGGCCACCTGAGCACACTGTA